AGAAATTTCTGAAAGAAAATTGGGCAAAGATGTTTTAAGAATAGTCTTAAAAAAAAAAAAGAATAGTCTTAAAACATAGTAGCGCAAAAGAAAAAAAAGAAAACAAAACACAGTAGCTCAGTCACTTACGAGCTGGGTGGTTCTGGACAAGTTTTTAACATGAGTCTCAATTTCCTCAGCCATAAAACAGCCAGCCAGCCAGCCAGTGCATACTCAGTCATGTCCGACTCTCTGCAACCATTCCGGCAAGAATACCAGAGTGGGATGCCCTTTCCTACTCCAGGGGATCTTCCCAACCCAGGGGTCGAACCTGTATCTCTTGTGTCTCTTGTGTCTCCTGTACTGACAGGCAGCTTCTTCACCAACTGTGCCAGCTGGGGAGCCCCATCCATGGAACAGGGAAAATAGCAATTTCTCAAGGTTACTGTGAGTGTAAATGAAACAACACGTAAAGCTACCAACATGGCCCCTGGTACCAAGCCACTACTTTGTAAGTGCCAGCTATTGTTCCCTGTCTTCCACAGTGCCCAGCGAGCACAATGGTAAGCACTATTAGGAATTTAAGGTGTGCTTGGCAGAATGAAGAAAAGCAAACGTAAGTTGTATGCTTCTTTTTAATACATATCATGAGACTAACTAGGAAAAGAATACATCCTTATTAGTTTAAACCCAGGCATCACCATTCAAATAAAGTTAAAACAGATGCAAAAGTTGTACTGTACTTAATATACAAATGGATATCTGTATTCTGACTCAGGCCACACATCAGACTGGTACCAAGAGAAGACTAGCAGTTCCACAATGGAAGAGTGAAGAGTGGTACCCTTGGTTGGATGTTCCATTTCAATGCACTGACACTTGCGCATATAATCTACATAATAAACACAGACCTTTACACAGTAGAATCTCTGTGAGAGACAGAAAATGACAGTAAGTTTCTGATTTTCCTATGATCAAATATTTAGGAGTTGAATTTAAAGATAATAAGCAATTTTCCTCTTCACAAAGATTAGAATTTTAAACACACCTACCTTTTATGTGATGACACACGGCTATCAGTAGTATATGCTATCATACTCCAATAGCAGTTATACTCCAAAAAAACATAACTTTTTTTTTGATAGGTAAAAAGTGAATTTATTTAGAGAGAAACACACTCCACAGACAGAGTGTGGGCCATCACAGAGGGTGAGTCTGGCGGCCCACAATCTGTCATTTAATGTCACTCACTACATTAATGAGTGAGAAAAGTGGCTTCTTTTTAAAGGGTATTTCTACTATGGAGAGGACATTTTTAAAACTTACGTTTGGAAATGTTTCCACTATATGATTTTGTAGCTGAAGAAGTATCTATTAAAACCCTATTTTTTAAGTCATCATCTAGACAGGTTACAAAGGCTTGAAAACATGAAAAATTATCTCAATAAATTTAAAGTCTTTTGAACAAAGTTCTTAAAAGGGGGTTTTAAAGTTTTTATACATATATATATACACATACACAACATCGTCCAACTAATTAGCAAGAATAATTAATTGAGATCAAGGAAGAAGGGAAGGTCAAAAGTGATTTCAACACAATCTTGTGCATAACTGACAGATGAGAATTGAAACCTCAGAACATTGTCAGTAAAAAAAAAAAAAAAACAAGAACATTGTCAGTGACAGTATTCTCCCATTTGGATCTATAAATCTCTGTAAGGTAACTTTTTTTTTCATCATGAAAGTCATTAAAATCAAATGTCAGAAGTTAATGAATTTGGAATCAGAAGTTTAGTTATATCTAAATGTCACACCAAGATTTATCTTAGTCATTAACACAGTTATTAACACAGTCATTGACACTATAATTAAAGAAATCAGCAACAGCCATGTTTACTGGATACTTTATTCAACATTATCATTTTGGCTGGGCATGTTCTTCACCTTCAAGAAGCAGAATAAAACATAACCTTTGGATTAAGTCCAACCATACGTTATTTTTCCAATGATCCTAAAGTCAAATTGCAAAATTCAAATATTACCACCTGTGATTTTCCTATGAGGATTAAATAAAACCTCACAAATGAGAGTGCCCAGATAGCACCTGAAATAAACAAATGCTCAATTATATTAACTGCTCCTTCTTTGTCTTGAAGCCATGTGATTAATGAAGAAATAACAGGCCTAGGAATTAGATTTGAATTCTCACTATACCACTTGCTATATGTGTGATGTAATAATCTCAAGCAAATTATTTAACTCCATCTGTAAAATGGAAATATGAATACCCACCTTATAGGGTTAATGTGAAAAGTCATTAAAGAATAATGCATACATACAACACTAAATCAACTATACTTCAATAAATAAATGAATACTAAAAATTAGAAAATAATGAAGCAAAGTCATTTGACCTAAACAAGACTGTTAATCAATGTCCAACCCTCCTCCTTCAAGATAGCCTAGTCATAACTGTTCCAAAAGAACAGACTTACAGGTCAATGAATTTTAAAATATCCATCAGAGTCCCTATCTTTTGGTAAGAATTACGGCAATGGAGTTCCCTGACACAGCGCCTAGCATGGAGACGATACTCCATTAATATTTACTGAACTCAGGTGAATTACTATATCCACTGTCACTGTTGTAACTGGCAGCATGGGCAAGTCCCGGAGGGTCAGGGGAGGACTTGGTCCTCCTGTTACTCAAGCCAGGATTCTTCCCACTATTCTGTGTGCACTCTCCCTAGCTGAGGTCATCCACTTGCTGATAAAACTATATGCTTGTTTATACCAGTACAAATTCATTCACCGGTCATAATAAGGTGTTACCATAATGTGAGTTTTTCGGGGGTTCTATGACTAAGGAAGTCATTACTCTGTTAAAATGCTTTTACATACAAGGAAAAAACAAAACAAAACATTTGAGCTTTTTACACAACTTACATTAAAAAAAAAGTTTCCTTTTCTTTTGCCCAACTACCACAGCAAAGTCACCTATGTTGATGATTTCCTTAATGTAAACTGTGTTGGAAAGCTTTTAGAATAGTAACAGAACAATGATACTTCAGAACAGTAAAACCGATTCAAACTGTGAGCAGCAAACTCTAGTGGAACAAATAAAGAGTTGGCGAACGGTGGAGAGCCCCTTCATTCTTGCGAAACTCAAAGCTGAAATACACATCAAGTAAAATACTATGCGCTGAGAACACAGGGATGCAGGTACGATACATGAAGTACTTGTTATATGAGTCAATTCACAACCCCTGGATGACAAGCAGAAGACAGGTTTTTAAGAGTGCAGCTTCAGCACTTTGCAACACCCGCTTTTACGATCTGTCACGGTGAAGCAAACAGACACAACCAAACATCCCTATTAGGGCCACACGACCATCCAACGATTGGCCTTTACAGGAGCGAAAGCAACAAACCGGCAGAGGAGACCTAAGTTTCTTCTAAATGCCAGACGCTGGACTAAGGCCGCGGGGTGAAAGGGACCGACCCCAAATAAATAAAGGAATACCCAGGCATTCTGACATCCCCGCAGGTCCTCCCCACCCTCGGTCTTTCCGGGGAGTGTCATGCCACGAAATACGACTTGTCTGCACACAACCCCGGGATCCCTCCTACTCTAAAGGGGCTGTGTCCTTCCATGGACTCCTTTCAGCCAGCTTCACAGACCCCCACCCCAAACCACGGACTCCACTGACGGCCGCAGTGTGGACTCCATTACCTTTGCTGAGCTTCTGGAACACGTGATTTGGAAGGGCAAACTTGCTAGAAACGGACTGAACGACACTTGTTACATATTTCTCGGAGTTCTACCGTACCTGGAGCCAAACTACCCCCAGGGAGGGACGGAACTTCACCCGTCCTCGATGACACTGGTTCAGATCGCCCTGAGGAGGAGACTGTGTCCCCCTCCCTCCACCCGGGCTGGCCGCCAGCACCTCTTACCCATTTGTCCAAGGGGACCTGAGCGAGGGACCCGGTGCCCTGGTACAGGTCCAGGCTGAGCTGCTCCAGGCTCAGCTTCTCCTGCAGAAAGTGGCCCAGGTACCTCTGCAGGAGGTACCGACAGGCCCTCTTCTTGATGGACTCCGAAAACGGCCAAGGCATGATGAGGGCTGGCAGCTGGGCCGGCAGGGCTGCGGGCGGCTCCGGCCTGGGGGCTCCGGCCAGGCTCCTGCTCCAGGCCGCGGCTGGGGCAGCGGCGGCGGCGTCCTGGGGCCGGCCTGCCCAGGCCTCGGCGAAGCCTAAGCCCGGGGAGGCCCCTCCATGCCCGCTCGGCGCCGGGCGTCCCTCAGGGCGACCCCATCGCCTGTGCGGCGCCGCTCGCGCTAGGCCTGGAGGGGACAAGTCGCGGAAGAGTCCCTGTTAGCCCCAAGCCCGGGGGCCGGGAGGTATCCGAGGAGGGTCCTAGTCGGCACTGGAGAGAGGGTACAAGAGAGCACGCGGGGAGACGGCAGGGCCTGAGGCCACGGTGAGGCGGACACCTCCACAGAGGCCGCGCAACGAATTTGTTGTCATCCGCGGGGCGCGCGCTCCCGGCTCTGGGACGCTCCCGGCGCGGCGCGTGCGCGAGACCCGGACAGCCGGCGCGCTGCCTGGCACAGGCGGAAGTGACGCCACACTGGTGGGGGCCGGGGAGGCGGGGAAAAGGGCCCGGAAGGGAGCAGTTCCGGCTCCGAGGGGGCGGGGCGAGGGTGGGGAGGGCAGGGGGCGGGGCCGCGGATCAGTTCCAGACGCCGCGGGAGGGAGCAGACGGAGGACTCGGGGAGCGCAGGTGAGCGGGCTTGGGGCCGGCGGCGGGCGGCTGGCGTCTGGCGGCCGGTCGACTGACCGGGAGGGCTTCGGGGAAGAGCCGAGGGCCTTCGGGTTGGGACGCGGCGCGGAGGACCAGGCCGTGCGGGGACGGCTTGCAGAAGGAGGTCCCGTGCCCGGGCTGAGGGGGCTCTAGGGGCGGCTCTGGCCTGGACCGCTCCCGCTCACCTTTAGACTCGGACCCAGGAAACGGGCGCTCGGGACGCCGCCGGTTCCCCGGGGAAGGGCTGCAGCCTCTCGGGAGTATCTCTGCTCCCCCCAACCCCTCAACCCCACCCCCAGTTATTGACCGCTGCCCGTTGTCAGCAACTTATTCCTCGCCCGCCTCGTCCAGGTATTGTTTTCCAAAGCTTCCTCTTCTCTACCGTTTTGTCTGGTGGCTTGCAGCTTCCAAAGCGCTTTATTCATCCCTCGGTGTGTGCTGCGCCAGCACACACCCAAAAACTTGAGTTTCCGAGGCGTTTGTGGGCAAAACCGCTTTCTCGGATCGATGCCAAAGCCTTCCGACCCCGCGGAGACCTGGGCAAAAGTACTTGTGCTGGCCTGGCAATCTGCGCAGTCGTGTTCCTGCCTTTTAGGAGGCAACTCCTGCAGAGGCGGAGCCGGCTCCCAACTTGGTCCCCCCGGAGGAGGCCTGCGTGTGATGTCGGTCGGTGTTCGGTGGCCCGGAAGCCAGGTGTCCCGGGTTAGAATCCTGTGCCCGGCATTGTTAGTCCGGCGTTTGTTCAGGAGGCGCCTTGTACCGGCCACCGCCTGCCCTGTCTGAGTCCTTGCCAACTTTAAGCATATTGTTTTTCAGTCGCCCAGTCGTGTCCTACTCTTTGCGACCCCATGGACTAGCACGCCAGGCCTCCTTGTCCCTCACCATGTCCCGAAGTTTGCCCAAGTTCATGTCGATTGCATCGATGATGCCCTCCACCTTCTCATCCTCTGACGCCCTCTTCTTAAGCATATTAGTAATGTCTTATCTCCAGAGATTGTTAGGATGCTTAAACGATATCCGTAGGGTCCCGATTGTTTAGTCGCTCCGGTCGGACTCTTTTGCTACCCCATGGACTGCAGCGCGCCAGGCTTCCCTGTCCATGGGATTCTCCAGGTAAGAATGGTAGAGTGGGTTGCCATCTCGTCCAGATCTTCCCGACCCAGAGATCGAACCCGCATTCGCAGGCGGGTTCTTGACCACTGAGCCAAAATAATGGGAAGATACCCATTGTTTTGATTTAAATCAGGAATAACAAGGAAAAATGTGTGGTCACGAGCACAGACTCAAGGAAGAACTGGAGGAAGTAAGATGAGCATGTAAAAATGAATGTATGAATTAAGAAACCAGGCTTGATACATACAGTTTAATCAAGAATAGTAAATTAAACCCCTCTTTTCCCTTTGCCAAGTTATGTCTTTATTGGTTATTCAGGTGGGGTAAATGAAATATCCTTTTAAAATTCAAGCAGACTAGGGATATCCCTGGGGTTCAGTGGCTAAGATTCCTTGCTCCGGGTGCAGGACGCCTGCGTTTAATCCCTGGTCAGGGAACTAAGGTCCTATTTGTGGCAACTAAGACCCAGTGCAGCCAAATAAATAAATATTTTAAAAACTCAAGCAAACTGGATGTTTGTCTTATAACCTGTCAGAGGAAACTAATTGTAATAAACTTACTGGAAAGGCATGTGGGGGTTGTCACTAAGAATTTCTAGTTTTCAGAGTGTAAAAAGTTTAATAAGTTATAAATTCTTTTAGCGGCCTGGTTTTGCTTAAATTATTTGGTATTTCAGAGTCTATCACTTCATCAGAAGAGAGCTTAAAACCTGGGATGATTGCCTCAAGGCCGCCTTCAGTAAGCTTTAGTAAATGATTGTAAACTTGCCATCACTTTGTTGATTTGTCCTGTCTAAGTTAAAAGGATCCTGGTTTCATTAGTAAATGCCAACTGTGGAAAGAAAAAAAAAAAAGATTAGCAAATTAAGACTACTGGTTTAAGATTTTATTTACACATGGATAACTTTCACAGTTGCCTTAGAAATACTAACGGAGCCCAGAAATGTTGTCAGTTGGGGAAAGCTCTGGTTCCCCTTCCACAACCATCTTTTTCTTTTAGAACCAGTGTGCTTTCCAGTGTATGTAGGTGCTGGCATTCTAGTCCCCCTCGTTCTCTGTAGACTTGTCCCAAGCATTCTTTTCTTGGTAACTTCAATTCCTTTGTTCTTTAATTTTAAATGTTTTTTAAGGGTCCACTGGATGAAAGTCTTCACAATTGGTGATGTGAAAAAGGTACAGAGGAATTCAAGGAGCTATGATCTATAGTGAAAGGGTCATTCCTTTATTCAGTAAATACTTACCGATTGCCTACTGTGTGCCAGGGATTGTTCTAGGTGCTGGGGGTACAGCAGTGACCAGATTAAGTCCCTGCCCTCATGTAGTGCTTATATTTTATTGAAGGGAGGGGAAGCAAGCAATAATCAAATATATTTTATGCAGTAGTAAGTGCAATAGCAAAAATAAAGTAATGGAAAGGATAGGAGATAGGTTTGCTACTTTTATATAGGGAATAGGGAAGGCCTCTTGTTTAATAGGTGACATTTTAGCAGAGACTTAGAGAAAGCTGAGGTGCAAGGTAAGTGATACCTGGAGGAGTTTTTCAGGCAGGGGGAACAGCAGAGGGCAAGGCCCTATGGCAAGAGATGCTTAGCGAGTTCAAGGAACATTGGGAGGTAATGAGGGAAAGAGGAGAAGCTGGAGGCTTGGGGGTGAGGGGGCAGTCTCTATAAGGACTTCACCTTTGTACTCAGTCAGTGAATGGATTTGAGGAAAGAAGTACCATAATCTGGTCAAAGTTTTTACAGGATCATGCTGATTGCTGTGTTGAGAATAGACTTAAATGGAGGTAAGAGGCCCAGAGATGAAAAAGCAAGACCAGTTTGAAAGATATTGCAATGATCTAGGGCTTCCCTTGTGGCTCAGCTGATAGAGAATCTGCCTGCAATGCTGGAGACCTGGGTTCTATCCCAGGGTTGGGAAGATCCCCTGGAGAAGGGAATGGCTACCCACTCCAGTATTCTGGCCTGGAGAATTCCATGGTCTGTGTAGTCCATGGGGTCGCAAGGAGTTGGACACAACTAAGCGACTTTCACTTTCAGGCAGAAGTGACACTGGCTTGGATGAGAGTGGTGGGAGTGAAGATGGGAAAAAACTGTTGGATTCTGGATATATTTGAAAGATAAGAAACTATATTTATGAATAATTATAACGCTTCCCATAAAAGGAGAATAAACAAAATGATGTCAAAGTGCAGGAGCCAGTCTGGCAGGGAGTTAAGATTTGGGGAGGTCTGAACCAGACTTTTGATGAATGGACAGTTTACATTTTCGAGTTGAAATGTTAAATAAGTGATTTCTTTTTGGAATATAGACTTACATTCAGACTGTCCACAAAATGTGTGAAATTTCAAATATCAGAAAAGGAAAATAAAAACTGGAAGATTCTGTAAAAACAAACATACTCTTTTCAAAGTGTTAAGTGTGTTGCCGAGTCCATTTTGTGCTTCCTAGAAGAAATTCAGCATAAATTGTTAAGGTTTAAGATCTGTTGTTAATTATACATCTAGCTCAAATAAGGTACAAACTCATCCTAACGGCGTTTTGTGTTATATCAAAGACAAAAAACTATCACAAAATTTTAACAGTTAATCATTAATTAAGTGAGGATGATGAAAGTAATTAGCAACCAAACCTTGTAATGACAGGTCAGAGGCTACATACCAGAGGCTGAATGGTCATGACAAAAAAAAAAAATCATCCTTGCAAGAAATCCATGTTAACATGTAAAATAAAAGAAAACCTGAGATGATTTTGGCCTTTTGTGCCTGCGGTGACAGTAAGATGGTAGTGTTCTGTGTCACATGCTTCTCAGAGCCTTAAAAGGCCAAAGCCATAGCCACTCCACATGCTATAAAGAGCCCTGAAAGTGGAAGTGTTAGTCGCTCAGTCGTGTCCAACTCTTTTGTGACCAGGCTTCTCTGTCCGTGGAATTCTCCAGGCAAGCACACTGGGGCGGGTTGCCATTCCCTTCTCCTGGGGATCTTCCTGACCCAGGGATTGAACCCAGATCTCCTGCATTACAGGCAGGTTCTTTACTGAATGAGCTACCAGGGAAGCCCAAGGAGCCCTGAACTTGGAGTCCAAGACCTTAGGTCAAAGGTCAGTCTTGGGACATCGCTGGTGGTCTAGTAGCTAAGACTCCTAGATCCCACATGCTGCAACTAAGACCTCCGCAGCCAAATAAATTTTTTTTAAAAGGTCAATCTTTCTTTAAAGAAACGTAAGTACTTTTATTTTTAATGTATAATAGTTAACAGAGAATATTTCTTGCTTACTGTGCCCGGTACCGTGCTAAGCACTTTCCGCGTATTCACTCATTTAGTTCTCTCAGGATTCTTTTAAGGTAGATGCTCTTGTTGGCTTCATTTTAGGTAGGGGGAATGTGTGACTAGAGGGATTAAGATCTCTTTCCCCAAGTCTCCGAATAAGTGACAGAGCTGAGATTCTAGCCCTGATCAGTCTGTGCAGAAGAGCCCTTTAGCCGTCACACCATGTGGCCACTTGTTGTTCACAAGAGGATTTTTCCAGACTGTGATGTGTGATACAAGTAAAAGTATAGTTGACCGTTGAACAACATTGTGGTTAGGGACACCAACCCTCCCAAAATTCAAAATTCACCCATAACTTACAGTCAGTTCTCTAAATATACAATTGCACATTTGCCAGTTCACTCAGCACAGATTATGTAGTACTGTAGTATTTATTATTGAAAATAAATCTGCACATAAGTAGACATGTGCAATTCAAGCCTGTGTTGTTCAAGGGTCAGCTATGATCATGATTAAGATATTACATTCTAGCTATCAGCTGACCGTTGTCATGGCAACTGAAACATCAAACTTTCTTTCACGTTGTAAGTTTCATGTCTGTGTACTGCTCTTGGAATCATTCTGGCTCTGCTCTTTTATTATGCTGCATATAGGACTTTTCTAGGCCCATTCTTTTGTCATCAAGGAAGAATCTACAGTCTTTTGCTGGCTCTTTGATGCTGTAAATTTGTGATGAAACAAAACAGTCTACTGAGTTAAGAAGTAGAGAATAAAGAACTTTGTGATCTTGATATCTTGGTCTTAGATATCTGATAACTAGTTTCATGAATTCTCCCCAAACGACTAACACAGCACCAAAATTATACCAGCGGATGAAGTAAGAGCTGGTTCCTAAATAATTTATGTATGATGTTATAAAGAATCATTGGAAACTTTATGCAAGGTGATGCAATGTTCCAGATTAAAATCGC